CTGATATGCAATAATCAAGATGTAAGGTGTAAGGCAGTCATGGTGGAGCACGGCGGAGGCAAAGGCAGGCAGATCTCTGTGTTTCAGGCCAGTCCCAGGGCAGCCAGTGCTGGTACACAGAGAGACCCTGTCTGGGGAAAAACAACAACAAGATGTAAAGCATAAAATACTGTGTCTATGAGTCCTCTGGGTCAGAGGTGATTGTTCTAAAGAGAACCAGAGCCCACAGCAGGGATGAGAAGGAACTATTTTTGTGTGTTGATTAAACTTACTACTGCTACAATGGATCACCTTTCCTCCACTTTGGTTCTTTGAGACAGGGTTTTGACACAGGGCACGCTGACCTCAGAGTCACAGTGGGATCACAGGCGGTCGCAGTACTTTTGGTCAGGAATGAAGCTCAGGTTTGTCCATGCTAAGCATTTGCTCTACCACTAGGCAATATCACTAATGACATCTCTGGCTTCAGATAAATGGTTTTCAAATTCAGGTAAGTGTAATTAAAGCAGCCAGAGGAACACGGAGGCACCAAGTGAGACCATGTCCTTTATTGTTCTTGGAGAAAGGGCCTCAAATCAGTAAGTCCAGACTGGCCACAAACTTGCCTCGGCCTCCCAAGTACAACAGGTATGAGCTATCGGGCCCAGCTCACTCTTTCTTCTGGGGAATCTGGAAAGGCATCTTTGGTGGCAGGGCCTTGAAGAGTGAAGTGGCCTGTCAAGCTGAGAAGACCTTGTGTGTAGACTCTGGTGTGAGAACAGCGGGAGGGAGACATGTCTGGTACAGGTGGAAAGAGGGGTATGACCAAGGAAAACTGGAGAGGGGAACCGGGTTGTCACCAAGCACCAGGCACTTGGACTCCATCCCCTAGCTAACGGAGTTAGGGGAGGCCTAGAAGCAGGGCAGTTCCAGGAGCACACCTGGGGCGGCAGCTGCCCTGGGGTGGAGTCCCCGCCTCACACACCTGTCTACTTTCCTTTATGGAGCATGTTTTATTTTTCTTATAAATAAACTAACTTGCTGGGGACATATCTCTGCTGGAAGAGAGCTTGCTTGGAACAAACAAAGCCCTGGGTTCATCTCAGGACTGCATGCACTGGACATGGTCGCACCTACCTGTAACCCCGGCACTAGGGAGTCAGAGGACAGAAGATGAGAATTTCAGGGTCAGCGTTACCTGTACAAAATTCAAGACTAGCCTGGATAAATGAAATCCAGTCTCAAAACAATCAAGCAAACCAGAACAGAAAACCAACTTTTAAGCCAGGTGTAGTTACTAGGTTTGTGGTCCCAGATACCTGGGGACCCAAGGATCTAAGAATGGTTGAGTCCAAAGGTTCAAGGTCAGTCTGGGCACCATGGCAAGTTCTAAAGAAATAGGAACTTAACTTTTATATGTTGAAGAAAGAAAAAAACCTGTTCCCGAACTGTAAGAGCAGGGAGACTGTTCAGAGGCTCTTTGGATAAGGTAAAGGGACAGGGTTGATGTCACTGACAGACACACCCTTTGGCTGAGGTCGGGGAGACAAGGGAAACCTCCGTATTTGCAGGGTAGTGGAGCAGGCAGGAGGCTGTGAAGAAAGGAAGTTAAGCGACACAAACTTTGCTGCCTAGGATTCTGAGGCACCTCTGAGCCCTCTTGCTCTAACTGCTAAGGCTCAAAGTTTCTACCTTATAATGTTCAGCTTCATCTTCAGGGGGCTTCAGGAGTTCCTCCAGTGTTCGTACCTCCTCACTGGTGATGTCAGCACAATATGGCTCCACAGAGGCCCAGAACCTGCGGGGAGAAGCAGACCCCGAGTGGGCGAGGTACTCCTCCAGCCTTAGCCCTGGGCCTTCTAAGACCCCACCACAAGCCCCTATGCTCCCTCTAGCTCCCTTCTATGTGCTCAGGCTCAGGACCTGTTGGGAGCATCATTCTTGGGGATCCGAGGCACATCAATTGGGTCATCAGTGAACTCATATTCTTGGATCTTGGGCTGAACATTTTTGGATTTGGGTCGTCCTGGGCCAGGGCCTGGCCCATGTCCTGTCTTCCCTTCCAGTTTCTGCTTCTTGGGTTTCCCATGTTTTGGGGGAGCACCAAGCTCATGGTCTCGACCCAGCTTCAGGAATCGTCGGTCACCTTTCTTATCTTGCCAGTCAGTAAGGATCTGAAACACACATAGATAGTCCCTGAGAAGGGAAGAAGACACTTCTTTTCTGCTATGGATAACCTGAAATCTAGAATTTGAGTTATTAAGTAAACTATTCATACTTCAAAGTCTAGTTCTTTCGCTGAGATTTTCTCACATAGATTTAACCATAGGTGTACATTCTGATTGACCTCCGTCACCCAAGCTAGCCTTAGTTTGTTTGGCAGGAAGATTAACAAAATAAAAATCAAAAAGGTTATGCCCCAGGGCATGGCAGTCCTAGGGAATATGCTGATGGTGGTTTTTGGTGATGGTCAACAAGGCCATCATGTCAAACATCAACCCGTCTGGGAGCTCTGTCTAAACAACTGACTATATCAGTGTGTATCTCAGAAAGCTCCCAGGAATTCCAGGGACCACAAGTGGACAGTGTCCATCTTCTGAGGTTCAGCTGCATGGCATCCCTGGCCCTTAGTCTCTGCACTGAGACCCAACTGTGCTGTCACAATTCCCACTTGTGTCTCTCTTCCCATCCATCCCTTGGCCCCAGAAGATGGCGTTAACCCCTAACTTGACACAATCTATCTCTGGCGATGTCCCCAGGAGAATCACCTGGGTTTCAGCTTCCAGTACACGAAGTCGCCTGCTTGCAGAGGACAGCAGTGTCTCAAGCTCCAGCTGAAGGGTGTCCAGCTCCTCGATACCAATGCCATCGTCCTCAGAGCGGGCCAGCACTGCCGTGTACCGGGGACAGACCTTCAGGTGGTCCACAGACTTGAAGTCGTGAAACTGCAATGGGCAGTCCTTCAGCTCACTCATGGCCCAGGAGACGGGACCCTGTAAATCAGAAAGGAGGAGGCCATTGGGTAGCATGGGAGAGAGGTCCAACAAAGAAACCAGGCTTCAGGACCCTAACAGATAAAGATAGTGGCAAAGCTGGTCACAGAACCCGGCTATAACCAAGCCAGGGCTCACTTCACTGAACTATGTACATAACCTTATAAACAGGGGGCCTTTTTTCCATGTTTTTCTTTCTTTTCTTTTCTTTTTTTTTCAAGACAGGGTTTCTCTGTGTAACAGCCCTAGGTGTCCTGGAACTTGCTCTGTCAACAGGCAGGCTTTGAACTGAAGATGTACCTGCCTCAACCTCCAGAGTGCTGGGATTAAAGGCGGGCAGAGTCAACACCGGGTTTTTCTTTGACAAAGAAGGAAACAGACTCTGAAAGGGTATGCCCACATGCCTAGACACCTCACTGCAATTTACTGTCCCTTTTTTGTTTAGGTAGGGTCTCATGCATGCTACATTGGCACACCTTTTGAACATATTATTTCTTTATTTGAGACAAAATCTCATTATGTAGCCTTGGTTGGCCTAGTACTCGCTCACTATATAGACCAGGGTGGTGTCAAACTCATAGAGCTCTACCTGCCTCTACCTCCCCATGGGGGTAGGGGGGTTGTCTCAAACTACCCATGTAGCCAAGGATTTGTTTCTACTTCCCAAGTGATGGAATTCCAGGCATGTACCACACCTAGTTTATACAGTGCTGAGGATCCAAGGCAGGGTTCTTGTGCATGCTAGGCACAGATTTTTCCAAACTGAGTTCTATCCAGCCTCCTTTCATGAATTTTTATTGAGACAGACTCTCAATAAGTTGTCCAGGCAGGCCTTGAACTTATCATCCACCTGCTTCAGCCTCCCAAGTAACTAGGTTTACAAACCTGCATGATCAGGCCGGTCTCCTAGTTGCAATTTGAACCACAGTAGTCTGGAATCTGCAGCACTGAGGGAGAGATACCAGTGTGTCCTGTCTTCTCATGTTTTCCTACGTCGGGCTGTTTCAAGCACTCTATCTTACGGGGTTCTCCCAGACTCTCCTTGTCTCCCTTCATTCCACCTCTGCACCTTCTTTGTGTCCCTAGCTAGTTTGGAACACTGGCTGGTCAGGCAGACAGAACTAAGTTCCAGCCCATTTTCTTCTCTCATGTGCCCTTCTAAACATATTATTTAACCTGAATGTCAGGTTTCTTGTTTTTTGTTGTTTTTTTTCCAGGACAAAAGATGATGCCTCAGTCTATTTCCCCACTAAAAAGTATGAATCTGTAAAATGGGGGCATCGAGAGTACCTACCTCCCTGGAATGTTCTGAGGATTACGAGGTGATGCTCGTCAAATGCCCAGTTCAGTGCCTGGCACAGAAGTGGGACTGCTTAATGGCTGGCTCCACCTGTGTGTCGCCCCAAGATCCCGCCTCCAGGGTCCTCGTCCTCTAGGAAGCCCTAACACAGCCCCCACCTCTCCTACCTCCTCCCTGCGGCCTCCTGCAGGCCCCGGGCCGCAGGAGGGGGCGGGGAGTTCAGGGAGAACGGAGAAACCGCCCCGGAACTGGCTATGGGCGGGCCCCCTGCAGTTGACGCGAGGGCGGGGACACAGCCAGCCCACAGGGGTCTGACGGGGTGTGGGGTGGGGGGTCTAAGGCCACCTACGAACCTCCAGGAGGTGGAATGCTAGGCCAGAGGAGTCCCCTGAGAAGCAGCCCGGGGGTAGGGCGGGGCTCAGAGCCGAGATCTCAAGGGACTAGCTGTCCAGACGAGCCCTAGGGCTGCTAGGAGGAGGAGCCCGGAGAGGATAGTGAAGGACCACCGGAAGAAACGTCGGGCGTCGCCGGCTCGGTCTGTCCTAATTTGGTGCCCAACCTGAGGTCGGGCTGTACTATTGTCCCATGGGGGGAGGCTACAGCCACAGCGACAAGAAGCAAAGGCGCTGGCGAGAGATGTGTGGAAACCCAAGGGCACTCGATTGATATTTAGTTGCTACAGGCCTTCTACAAGTCCCAGCGGTCCCAGCGTGAAGTCGCCCCAGAGATCCGGACGTCATTCGGCGCTTCCTCCCCGGTCCCGTCTAGATGGTCCCGCCCGGAAGTGCTGGCGGAGACTGCGGCTGCGCCTCTCGCGAAAGGGCAGGCGCCGCGGGGCCTGGCACTTCCGTACTTCCGCTTTCCGGCCCAGACAGCGCCCGCGATGGTGAGAGTCCCGGGGCTGGGGCCCTCCTTGTGTCTTTCTTGGAGAGGCTGTGGGTCTGGGGGAGATACTGCTCGCCGCTAGGACTTGCGGCCGGAGGTTGCCCTGGGATAAGGGGACACGATGAGGATGGGGAGACAGAGGGTGGAGCCAGAGCCGAGGCGAGGAGGAAGGGGCGAGCTGGGAGGCCGGAACAGGCCCCGAGACTTCCAGGTTGGGCATCCCCGGTAGGGATGGCCTCTCCCCGAAGTTTGGAGGAGGCAGGAAACGGGGTTGCTAGGCCTGTACTGGCGACTCGCAGCCGAGGAAGGACCGCTGAGGAATGCAGCGGTGCCTCTTCCTCCACGGTAGAGATTCACTAAGTACACTCCTGTCTTCTTGCATTCACGGTCCTCCGAGGCAAGTGTCCACTTCTCCTTATTACCTTCTTGGTCCCTCTAGCCTTGCTTCCAACACTCAGTGAAGGTTGTGTGGGGTTGCCTCCAGATGGAGACTCCTTCCTAGCGCGGTACACTGTTGACCCGAATGTGTGAAAACGCTGATAACCGCCGGTCCTTCCCTTCCAGGGGATGCCCGGCTTTGGTATCTTTGGGTGCTCCTTGCAGTTGTGTCCCTGGCTCACACGTTCACTCTCCTACTGCTTTCCTGGCCTGCTTTGATGACCTGAGTTCTGAAGACTGGACTGCTTGTCACTCTCCCATAAATCTACTCTTTGGGGAGATACCTTGAAATTAGGCCTTCTTGTTGAAAAGATGACTTTTGTACAAGCTTTTCTAAACTTTTTCTTTTTCCAATGCCACGTCCTAACTGGTTCCATTCCTCAGCCTGAAAGCCGTTTCCTTTTCTCTGATTGAGGAGATAGTAATTAATTTTTAAGCATTCAAGTTGATTGTATGGTTTCTTCATACACCTGTTCACTAAAGGGTAAAAATCACAGTGCTGGCCATCAAAAGGCAGGTTTTCTCTCTATGAATTTTGACAAAATAATCATATAGCCACTACCACTGATTTCTTCCCTTCCAGTTTCACCTCTTCTTGGTTGACATATAAATAGAATTCTCTAGTACAGTGACAGAACCCACTGCTGAGCTACATGACCGCTGTATTTTAGTTGTGTATTTTAGCCTTTATCCCCTCTGTCTGTCGGTGGGATGCTGTGCTTGTCTCCACTGCCCCAGTCTGTACTCAGTACCTCTTCTCTGGGGGTCTCACTTCCCTCTCCATTCTCCAGAGAACCTCTGTGTAGCTGTAGTCATGTAACTTCCTCCTCAGAAAGTCCCAATGCTTCCTGATACATTGAGAGAAAAACTAACTCAGTGGACCAGCATTCTAGATTCTCTGGGGTTTTTCCCAGCCTACCATTTCAACCTGATCTGTGCAATTTAAAGTGATTCTTACATACAGAGACATTGTACTCATTCATACTTTTGAAAGTCTTAGTGCTCTTTTTTTTTTTTTTTTTTTTAAGTCTAGCCCTGCTTATGTTAGTTCATTTGTTCATTTACTTTACAGGAAATTTGAATGACACTAAGTATTGGAGGCACTGAGCTAGATACAACCTGCATAACTGAATAAAGTTAATGTCTTCAGATAATGAGAATTACAGACTAGTGAAGGGAAATTTATTTAACAAAATACGTGAAGAATGTCTTGTGAATTATGTGTAAAGTGTACATACCATAAATAAAATAGATTCAGCCAGGGGGAAGTAAAAAAGGCAACTTTGAGGAAGGAAGAGGCCTTCCCTACTAAGCTGAGCTCTGCCGGGCAAGAGCAAGGAGGAGGAAAGAGTGCAGGTGATGGCCCAGCCTGTGATAAGCCCTGAGGGGAGAGAGAATTTGACTGAGCTATAATGTAGCTGATCGCTATACCTGACCTTGTCCACTCTACTAAGAATGTCCATGTTGTACTTTTTCTCATTATAAGATCCTCCTGATCCTGTATCTACTCAAAACTAATTTCTTCATACAGTCTAGATTATTTATAAGCCTAGTTACTTTCTATTTTGCCTTCTGTTAGCCCTTGTGATCCTTACTCGTTTGAGACATTTGAGGGCAGACGTGATCTGACTGAACTCCTAGCATGCCCAGGACATTTGTCAGTGTAGTGAGCAGACCTGGGGGCCTGGATCTCTCTAGATGAGCATTACCCTGCTCTGACACTGGTGGCTCTTGGGCCTGTGTAATTCTGTTATGCATCCCAGGAGAGTGGGCAGCATGGCTTTTCTCTTTCCATTTGTGTCCCTAGTACCTCCACCCCCATCCCTGGGTCATGACAGTTTTTTCTCCACACTTTGTTAAATGTCAAGCAGAATTATTTGCTGCTGGGAAACACTGTTATAGACATTGACTGGACTGGACTGGACTGCACCTGGAAGGCTGGCTACATTTTGCTCTGCGTATATTGTTCTGGGTGTATTTTGTTCAGGCCACGCCTGAAGCCTTCAGTATTGCCTATTCTGTAGAAGCCGCAGTGGTAGGGATGCGGGGAATGGGATTGGTTTTCGAGGCAGATTCTAATCCTTCCTATATCTTGGGTTTATTTCTGCAGACTGCCACTCTCCGCCCTTACCTTAGTGCCGTGCGGGCCACACTGCAGGCTGCCCTCTGCCTGGAGAACTTCTCCTCCCAGGTTGTGGAACGACACAACAAGCCAGAGGTCGAAGTCAGGTAGGGAAGGAGAAGGTCAGAGTGGGGCTGAGGAGAACAGCTCCCAAGAGTAGACCCTGTTCGTGGGGTTCCCTGAATCGATGCTCTGGACTGCCGATACCTTCAGTGGTATTTGTCTTGCTGCCAGATGAATGATGGATCCAAATATGGGAATTAGGGTCAGTGGCCTGACAGGCCGCACAATCCATGGGAAACATACCCCGAAGTGGTGCTTCTTAGAGCAGAGCTGTGGAGAAGTGTCTTCGATAGCGTTACTGAGGCCACTAGCAGCTCTAGAAGAGGCCACAGGATTTAGTTCTTAGAGATGACATTTCTATACATTATTAATGTAAGGATCAAGACTTGACTCTTACACCCAAATACTCCATATTTTGAAAGCATTCTTCTCTTGACTGGTTTTCATTTCATAAATAAATATTCTTCCTCTGAAATTTCACTTGGCAAGATGACACGACTGCTAATCCCAGCACATGAGAGATGTGGTTCTATTAAACCGCAGCGACAGGGACAGCCTCAGCTACATAGCAGGTCTTCCCTCAAGAAACCAAAAGAAAGCCAGGTACGGTGACTGACGCCTGTCATCCCAGCACTTGAGGTGGCAGAAACAGGCAGATCTCTGTGAATTCAAGGCCAGCCTGGTCTACAAAGCAAGACCAAGACAGCCAAAGCTACACAGAAAAACTGTCTCGAAAAACCAAACCAAAACAGAAACCAAAAGAGGGAAAAATCTGGGATATATGTAGTTGGGATAAGCCATGTTCCTACATTAGACCATAAAGTTTTTTTTCCCCCTAGGGATTGAACCCAGGCCTTTGGGCATGCTAGACACACTCCACAGCTGAACCATATCCCCTTTCCCAAAGTGACTGATATGACCCAAATGATTTCAGTGTTAGGATGGACGTTACTGTTTGATATACATGAAATACTGTGTGCTATTACTTGATAAACATGGCTTTCACTAGGCGTTTCAAATGATGCAGACTCCCCATGTACCTTTAAAATACCTAGAGAGTCAGTGGCATCCGTGTCCTTTGATTTTGTGTTTTTAGGAGTAGCAAAGAACTCCTATTGCAGCCTGTTACCATCAGCAGGAATGAGAAGGAAAAGGTTCTGATTGAGGGCTCCATCAATTCTGTCCGGGTCAGCATTGCTGTGAAACAGGTGAGTCACCAGCGAGAGGGGCAGAGTTAGGAGTGCTCATCACAGCCAGCAATCCCATCTGAATGGTCATCGAGCTAGGTTTAGAGCCTGCTTTCAGGAATTGACTTGGGATGATGGTTGGCCCAAGCAAACAGGTACAGCCAGGTAAGGTGGCATGTGCCTATAACCCTAGCACTTGGAAGGCTGAGACTGAGGATAGAAGGCCCAAGGCTAGCCTGGGCCACTTGGTGAGTCCCTGTCTGAAAAAGAAAGCAGAAAGCCAGTCAGTAGAATGAAACGACAGCAACTCTGTTGCATAGGCCTTGCCCTGAATTTTGAACAAGGAAGTAGCGGGCAAGCCCATGGGGCCAATTGAGCAAGTTTCTAACTGGTAATGGTTATGTGCATTAGAGCAATTCCTGCACTGGTTTGATAGCCATAGTTTCCCAAACTGCCATTTGTTTAAAATAACAGAAGCTACAACACATACACACGTACAAAATTCTCAAAAAAAAAAAAAAAAAAGACCAGACCATCCAATCTAGCTTGTCTCTTAGAAACAGATATGTAGGACAACAGTGTGTGGGGTGATTCATCCAAAATCAGGAAAAAAAAATGCCAACAAGAACAGTAGCAAACTATCGTAACTAAAGATCTGTCAGACAGCAGTTACCCAGACAAGTATCATTGCATTTTCTTTGTGTATTTTCTCTACTAGTTTTACAGTTGGAGAATCTCCTTCTCGGTCTTTTATCCATCTTGAGTTAATTTTTGTATATGGCATAAGATAAGGGTCTAGTTTCATTCTTCCACATGGAAATGTTCAGTTGGGACATTTTGTTGGAGAAATTCTTGCCATTATGTGACCGTAGTGCTTTTGATGGAAATCAGTTGACTATAAATATTTCAGTTTCTTTCTGAGCCCTCTGTCCCATTCATACATGTTCCAGTTCATACATGTATAAAACAGTTGCCCACATGTCTACCACAAAGGTCTGGGCATTACTGTCTCTGTATCACTTGATTGTTTTCTTGTTTTTGTTTTTTTTAATTTGAGCTATATTCTATTTCCGATTTGGAAAGAAACTTTTGAGTCCTAAATGGGAAAACAGTATCATTTGTTCTTCCCTATCAGACAACTCTAAAAATAACAATCAAAACAAAACAATGTTACAATTCAGATTTGCCACTTGTTGCCTGTGAGAGAGTCAGGGTGAAAAGGAAGGTGAGTAAGCAGTGAGCTGGGCGGCTGGGGCTTATGATGGTGTCTGATTGCCCAAGTGCAGAGTAACCAGAAGAATTGATTTGGGGATTGTTGGATTTTACTATTGTTGAAGCAGATAATTGTTGATACTTCCAGTTGAGGAAGTCTCTGATACCCAGTTGGTGTGTGCCACCAGTGTTGAGAAAGGCCACAGTGGTCGTGACCTGAGAAAGTTCAGGCAGCTTCCAATTAAGGTGTGGGCTCCCATGGAGCTGATGAAAGATGCGGGTTTGCCAGAGTTTCCTCATTGGTGTGAGACGAGATCTCAGTAACACTTGTTAAGATAGAGTGCCCTGGTAAGGCCTTCCTTTCGGTCAGCTGCAGATGCTGCAGTTCAGAGATCAGCAGTCTTCATTGCTGCCAGTCCGCTCTGCAGTGTCTGCTACCCTGGGAAGGCACTGGGGCCAGAAAGCCAGGTTCAGGGTACTTTGACTTTGAGACTCTTTGCTGTCACCAGGCTGATGAGATTGAGAAGATTTTATGCCATAAGTTCATGCGCTTCATGATGATGCGAGCAGAAAACTTCTTTATCCTTCGAAGGAAACCTGTGGAGGTGAGACCAGTGTTCCTGCTCCGTTGTAATTCCCATAATGTTATCTCTGGCTGGCCCCGGATTGTTTCTTTTTGTGGTACTGGGGATGGAACCCAAGGCCTTGCACAGCTGGGCAAATTACTGTGCTACTCTGGGTCTGTAGGATTGTAGCCCAGGGGCTGCTGCCTCTCCAGCTGTGGGGTATCGCTGCCTGGGCTGAGTCAGCCTGTACCGGGTACCAGGGAGACAAAAGCCCAGGAGGAGGTAGGTCTGTGCAGCACCCTCCTTCTCAGAACCTTGGGGCTGGTCATAGACAAAACAGTGACTTCAGGATTCTTCCTGAGCTGGTGTGTGGTGGGCATGCCTATACTCCTGTTTTGGGGAGGCTAAGGCAGAAGAATCAGGAGTTTGAGACGAGCGTAAGCTACACTTTGGTATGTATCTAAGAGAGGGGAAGAAAGAAGGAAAACATAACAAATTTTCCTACCAACTGAAATCTAGCCTCCCAAAGCCACAATAAACAGTGAATTGCTTGCTGTGAGCCTTTGTATTTAAAGGTACTCAAATCCATCCATGGGCTCCCTGCCAGGTCTCCCTGGTGACCTAGAAGCCACCATGTTAGAGCAGCAGAGACATCACCCAACACACTGAATGTCAGTTCTTCACCTTGAGCCACCTCTCTCCAGCCTCACTCTAATGCCTGGGGCCACTAGAGCTCTCTCTCACACGGCCTCCTGAAGTAGACAGCTCTGGTCAGTTCTGTTCTGTTTTGTTTTGTTTTCCTTTTTTTAAACTGTTGGGTTCTCTGAAATAAGATTTGTAGTCCCTTTAATTCCTGTGGCTCATTTCAAATACAGGACTGTCTGTGCCACAGCCTTTCAGGGACATCTGACTTAGCACACAGTTTTGAACTGGGTTCTATTGTTTGGGTTCAGCAGACACAGAACGCACACTCACCCATACTCCCCCTATCCCTCACCCCCAAGCAAGTTGGATTGCTGACTAAAGGGGGAATATATAGTTTGGGAGAAAATGGTAGCTAGTTGGAAGCCTGTGTGTGCGTGGGGAAAGGTGACAGCCAAGTGTCCCTAGGGGGTTAATTTTGTCTTTTGTTTTCCTTCCTTACTGGCTTTCCAAACTAGGGGTATGACATCAGCTTTCTCATCACCAACTTCCACACGGAACAGATGTACAAACACAAATTGGTGGACTTTGTAATCCACTTCATGGAGGAGATTGACAAGGAGATCAGTGAGATGAAGCTGTCGGTCAATGCCCGGGCCCGTATTGTGGCTGAGGAGTTCCTCAAGAATGTGAGTAGGGTCTCACCACTTGGTGCCACAGGTGGAAGAAGCCATGGGTTCTGGGAATGTGGTGGCACTGACAAGATAGTCCTGAGTCCCCTCAGACCTGTAACGTAGGCAGGGGCTTTGAAATTTGAAACACAGGCCAAAGATTCCATCCCTGAGAGCCCCAAGAATCTTCTATTTCTGCAAGTCTGGGAGGCAAGTCTCTGGTGGAAATACAGGCATGAATTCTGTATTTTCCAGTTCTGCGTAGTCCCTGCCTGTCTTAGTTCACCCCCAAGTGAAGAAGATACAGTGCTTTGTGACTCTTCTGAGAGCATAGGACGGACAATTACTCATGTAACCATCCACTTCTCGAACAGACTAAATATTTTTCGTCAGTGTCTGTTTCCCAGGCTTACCACTCTGGTTTCTTCCACATGTTTCCCATCCCTCCTAGCTCATGGCCATCTAGCTGAAAGGACTGCAGTGCTCTGAAGAGGAGGGATTGTTTACACTGCAGAGCTGGTGCATATCTTTGGCTAGTGATTCAGATCAGCCCATTGCCTTCTCTAGTTTGTTGACACATTCCACTCAGAGCTATCTGATCCCTTCATGGTAGAGTTAGTGTTTGTGCCTCCTGGTGCTTGCAGACCTGAGGGAGCTCAGAATCCTAAAAATGGAAATGACACCCACTTCCCCTGGGGTTTAATTATCCTGTGGGTGGCCAGCGCACCAGGCAGTGTTGTTTATGCTCATAAATCAGACCCAAGTGTGGGCCTGGCTCCTCTCCTTTCTCCAGGCATGTCACTGAACTGCTCAGCTAAGCCTGGTTGCCTCAGCTGGGAGATGAGGGCGGCGCTAATACATGCCTTTCAGGGAGGTTGGGCGTTAAGCTCACGTGAGAGTGCCCAGTACATAAACTTCCAGGTATGGGAACACCAGAGTTTCAGGACAGATCATAAAGTCCTCAAGCTTCATTTGACCAAGAGGAAACAGTGCTTGTCCCAGTTTAGTATTTGGCTTAATTACTCAGTGATCATTTGTGTGTGTGTGTCAGAGAGGGGAGGGAGAATGCCCACAGATTCTAGGACAGGGTATCTAATCCCCTGGGACTGGAGCTATAGGAGCTGACTGATGTGGGTGCTGGGACTGACCTCAAGTCCTCCAGAGGGAGCGGTACATCTTCAGTAAGTCATTTCTCCAGTATTTATTGTCTAAGTCTCCGAGGTGAAGTTGCCTGCCCAGTGTCCAACTAATAACTGGAAGAAGGGGAATGTAGAGTGGGCTAAGCCTCTATGATAGGGCCATAGCGTCCGGCAGTACTTCAGAGTCACTCGGCAGTGTGTGTGTCTGAGGTGGGCTTGGTGGAGCACGGTAGCACTTAACTCTGGAAAGGGTTGCTGCCAGGCAGCTGCAGCCTATTACTGCCTCACTGTCCTACTTTTTCTTCTGGAGCTTGGAGTCAAACCAAACTGAAGGCTTTGCCTGTGCTGCCCTAGCCCTGCAACTGGGCTGTGTCCCCACCCCGCTTTTTACTTTGAGTTTGAGTTTGAATCTTGTTATGTAGTCCCAGGAGTCCTCCAATTTGCAGTCAGCCCCTCAGCCTCTGTAGTAGCTGGAAATGTACTCACATAGCCAGGCTGGAACAAACTGTTCAAATGAATCCCCAAATATGGATTTGGTAGTGGTATCTGTTGCCTTCAAAGTTGACAGCTAATTCATACCTTTGAACATCATGTGGCCTGGTGTTGGACTATGCTCACTTACCAAACAGTCTCTGGTTTAGCGTCTAGGACTGTTCTTGACACTGTGGGGATACCTGAAGGTAGAAAAGATTTTCTTCTTGTCTTGTCCCTTCCCTTCTCTTTGCCTTCCTGTCTCTCTAGGTAGAAGACAGGATAAACAGGTGGCCTAGGTTCCCCTGAATTTACTTTGTGGCTGAGGATGGCCTTGAACTCCTGATCCTTGTTCCTCCACTTTCCTGAATCTAGGGTTGTGAGTGGGTGCTGCCACAGGGAACAGAAAGCTCTTCTAAGGCCTGTTGTGGTTGGACAGTCACTCAGAGTTTAACCTAAAGTACGAGACCTTGTCACTTTCTCCTTGGCTTATAGAACCTGGAAGCAGCAGCTCGACTCTATCACCAGCGTATGATGACCCCACTCATTGCCCGTCATTTTTTTTGACAGTTTTAGACCATCTGGCTGGATGTTGTGGCCTTCCCTCTCGGCCTCCCCTGTGTCTCTGCGTGTCTGCGAAGGTGTCCTGGAATCATTCCCCGGAGCAGCAGTGCAGCAGCAGCAGGAAGCTGGGTTGGGTGGGCATTGGCTGCGGGAGGCGGGTGTGGTGTGCTTGCTAGCTGTGCAGGAAGGCAGCAGCGGACCTGCCTCGCGGTCACACATGTCTGGTCAGGCTGGCTTCTGATGTTCAGTCCGCTGGGCTGGGACAGACTTTTTTTTTAATGTCTTGAAACCTAAACTCTGTGCTTGTAGAAGACTGTACCCTTTTTGTCTTTTTTTTTTTTTTTTTTTTTTTTTTTAAAAAAAAAACAACCTCCACCTCCAGTGGCTGTGACTGGCCCCAGTGATTGTACCTTATTGGTCGCTGTGGTCTGGGCGGGCCTGGAGCCAGAAGGCGACTATTTTTCCCATGCCACCCAGGTGGGGAGAGAGGGAAGTTTCTGATCCCGGTTTCTCTTCATTGCTGTCTTACTCACAAGCCTTCTTGGGCCCTGTAGAGGTGGTAAGGCCCCTCTACTATCTTTCTGAGTTCTGCCTGAAGATGGCCTCTGCACTGGTTGGGAACAAGGGCTGAATCCATGATTGCCGGGCAGGCCTAGGAGCTGGGGCCCAGAAGCCAGGCCTCCCAGCTGAGAGGCCCCAAGGCTTGCCTGTCTGGGTACAGTGCCTGTGCTGGAGGTGCAGAGGTGAGTCCTTTGAGTGCCCAACTGGGTCTTGCCTGCTCTGGCTCCTCTGCTCCCGCGCTCGCTGTCTCTGATTCTGATGAATCCTCCCTTACCCTAATTAAAGTCTCTTCCTGCCCTTTTGGGGCTGCATGAGGTCTGTGTTCTGTGTATGTGTGTGGAAGGACAGATGTTTTTATCCCTGGAGCCATGTGGCTGGCTTTTGAGTCTGGAGCAGTCTACCAGACAATTTTGTCATTGATCCCTGCCAAGGGCCTCAACACAAGAGACCTTCACTGCAGCCAGGTAGCAAAATTCTGAAGGTGGTCTCTGCCTGAACAGAGACGCCCTGCTTTCCACATGCTTCCATTCTAGCTTGCAGGTAGCCTCAGAAACCATGATCCCACTTTGTGGATAAGAAAACAGGTTCTGTTGTCCAAAATAGCTTGCTCCAAATCTCCCATCCTGTGAACAAGGAGACTGCCTTTGCTAAAACAGCAATCACTCTCCACACTATCTCAAAATCTTAGTCCTATTGGTGACTTAGCAGGTGTTGGATAGCTACCGGTAACTCAATATTGAAAGTGCTCAGGAAGTTCCATAAGATAGTGCCGGTGCTGAAGTAAGCAGTCCTCTCTCTTGCTGCCTCCTGCTATGACAGTGTGAGCTATAGAGTACTTGTCCCTGCCCCACAGGTGCTAGGTGAACAGTAGCTCTATACTTTTTAACATGATCCAGACATAACACTGACAATACTCAGGTCCAGAAAGTGAGGGCGAGTGGGATGTGAGAGTGTCTGTGATTGGAAGAGTGTGGAGCTAAGTTTGCTTACAGGAGAGGGTATCAGGGAAAGCTTAAAGGCAGTTGGCCTTGAGCCAGGTATGGTGGCTCACTTGTAATTCTAGCACTTGGAAATTGGAGACAAGAGGACTTCTGTGAGTGCTGGAACTATACAAAGACACACAGTCTCAGATAAAATAAAAAGGTGTGAGAGAGAGCAAGCTGAACTTTCTGGATGGCCAAAGGAATGTTTGCCGGAGCTTGGGGCATTTGTTTCTCAGTGCTGGGGTTGGACTTAGAGCCTTGAGCACACTATGCAAACCTGTCAATAGGCTGCATCACCAGCCCCCAAGGGTCTTTTGAAAAGAACAAGTAAGTGTTAAAGGAAGGAGGGGTGGGGGCAGCTTGACTGGCTGCCGTCCCTTTATGACACTACCTCTGTGACTCCCTGCCTCATTGAATATAGTTGAGCCCTCTGTGGTACATGGCTTTGTTCTAGCTTTGCAGTAACTGTTAGAGGTACTACTGGTGAAGCTGGGTGATCAGGAGGAAATGGCAGCTGGCCAGTCAACCCTCAAAGGACAGCATTACTCGGGTGAGCCAACCAAAACTTCGTCATAAATTATCTCCCAACATCCAAAGTCCCTAAAACCAGATTTGCAAGCTGAGGACAGACCAGATTGCTGCCAGCCATCCAGTTTTCTCTTTTTGGAAGTCCCGTGAACAGCCGTATGGGGGCATCTCTAGTTGAGTTTGGCTGGACAGGTGCTGGGTAGGCTTGGGGTGGGGAGACATACCTTCATTGCAAAGGCAGATTTGCCTGGTGACTGACAGCTGGCTTCTTGGAATTATTATTATTTGGTCCTTTGAGACAGGATTTCTAAAGCTTTCTTTGACTGTCCCAGACTCTGTAGACCAAGCTAGCCTCAAGCTCACAGAGGACCGCCTGCCTCTGCCTCTGCCTCCTGAGTGTTGGGATTACAGGTGTGTGATATGGCAGCAGCTTCTTTGACTTCTTTAACAGACCCCGCCAGAGGTGGCCTTTATAGCTCCATTTGGTGCCTTTTTTTTTTTTTTTTAGATTTATTATTTATACAACATTCTGCCTGCACACCAGATCTTACTATAGATGGTCGTGAGCCACCATGTGGTTGCTAGGAATTGAACTCAGGACCTTTGGAAGAACAGCGAGTGTTCTTAGCCTCTGAGCCATCTCTCCAGCCCCCATTTGGTGCTTCCGACCCCAACAGCAAGTCCGAGAGGCTGAGTATGTAGCTTAGTTGGTAGACTGCTTTGTCCAGCATCCCTGAAGCAACAAGTCCCAGCACTGGGTCTGGTGGCAGTCCAGTTGGAAGTTCACTGGGACACGTGAGACCCTGACCCAAAACAAGTGTTGAAATCAGAACTAAGATTATGCTGTGGGATTTTGAGACAAGTTATGTACTGTCTCTGTGAGATTTGGCCAGAATGGAGCATAACTTCTGTATCTTTCTTCAGTTGGTAAAAAGTGATTTATTTTTACTTTCTCAAGTTTTTTTGAAGAGGTGTTGTGTGCTCTGAACCTTATCTTTGTCAACCCATACACAGCCTTGGCTTTCTTATTTATCCCCAAAGACCTTACTGTCATCTTCAGCCAGGCCCTTCAAAGCTGATCTGGCCTCACCAGGTTCAAGCCTCACCAGCTGCCTGTAATTCCCACAAGAAAGGTTTCCAGCCTTTGGTGGGCATGGTGGCACACGCCTTTAATCCCAGTCTAGAGGCAGGTGGATCTCTTAAGTTTGAGGACAGCCAAGATTACAGAGAGACCTTGTATTGAAAAACAAAGCTGGCGGTGTGTTGCAGCACTCTGGGAGACAGGATGGTGGATCACTTTGAGCTTGAGGCCAGCCTGGTCTACAAAGCGAGCCAAGAACAGCCAAGGCTACATGGGGAAACCCTGTCTCGAAAAACCAAAAGAGAGAAAAAGAAGAAAGGTTCCCAGCCAATACAGGGCAGTTGCTGAGACTTCTCACTGCTAGAATATAATGCCAATCTCCTTTGCATTTACACCAGCTTAACTGGTCACCTGAGAGGACCTGAGGTCCCTAACTGCCTTACCTTCAGGAAGCCCTCTCTCAGCTCACTGAATTTTCGCTTCCCTTAAATCGGCACCTTTTTTAAATTTCTTTTGCTAGTTTTTCATTCTCCACACACTGTAAGCTTCATGAGGTCAGGGGCCACTTAACAGCCCTTACCCAGAGTCTTAGTGTATGGGCAAAGGCACAGATAAGGAACTCTGATGGTCCATCCTCAGTGCCTGGCTCATCAAGGGTGTGTGGCAAGTGAGGCTCAGAGTCAAGATCTCTAAAACTGCTTCCCCGAGGGCCCTCCACCTGAGTCTGATTGTGCCTGGGCAACGGTATCTAGGAGACAAGAAACGGAGGGCGGGGCCCAAGGGGCGCCTGGGCGGAGGTGCGCACTGGGGCCCTGGGAGCGAGCCTGGCGAGAGGCGCATGCCGGGTCTCAGCGCAGCGCTTCTCCTGAGCGTGGGGCAGCTGGGGCCCTCAGCCGCCTGGTTCCGCCAGGAGGGCGGCTCGGAGTGCAGCTGGCACCGGAAGACGCAGCCGCCTGAGCTCCGCCCTAGTTCCCCGTCCCAGTGGCCCTGGGCATGCAGCTCCGAGTTCCGGCCACCAGGGAAGCTGCAATGGCTTGGGCCCGCCTCTGCCGGGCCCGAGGGGTCAGACTACGGCGAAAGCCTTGGGGATTGCAGCCCATTGCATGTGCGCCACCTAAGCACTGCCCGAGAGGCGTTCCTGCCCACTGCTCACGGCACTGCGGATCCCCATCCCGACTGCCCCCTGGTCCCCCAGACCCTGGATGAGAACCTGCCTGATGCCCTGCAGCCGCCTGATGGTGAGGCACAGAGCGGCCCGCCAGCCCTGACACCCTGGCGGCTGCAGGGAGAGGCCGCGAGGGTGGACCGCAATCTGGGAAGCTCTGGAGGTTGGGCGTCTGGATATAGTGTAGGGGCAAGGGAAGACGGGCAAGTCCCTGGGCTAAGCCCCCAGCTTTCTGTGTTCCTGCTCCCCATCTCTGCAGATTCCCTTCTCCTCTGGAGAGGATTCTCCAAGGGATCTCAACACATGGGCCGACTCAGAAACGCCAAAATCCACGTAGAAAGAGCCGTCAAGGTCGGAGGGAATGGAGTGGTGGTGGTAGCTACTCTTTCTAGTTTCTCATATCCTTAAAAAATCATAAAAGGCAAAGAAAGACTGACCCCCCACACACCCTGCATCTGTAAGTGTTCCCCGCCTCCACCATCAGTCCCTCTTCAGGTCCGTAGTCTTGGTTGAATTGTCTGTACTTGGGGATGTACTCTAAAACATGCTCAGCCCTGGTTCCCTGCCCTTCTATCCCATTTCCATTGGAAATCACTCTCATTTGCAGCCCTTAACTGTCTTCTCCTGCTGGGGTGCTGTATGTCTCAGACTCCACACTAGCTTCCCTTGCTTGCTGCCTGGCCGCTGCCTCTGAGGATTTCTCACGATCCCCAGGATCCCTCTCCATACACCCATCTCCTTGAGCTTGAGAGCCAAGAGTCACACTGTGCCCTGTACCATCCATTTCCTGTCTCCAACCCCCACCCTGGAGATCTAGCCCCTCTGTTCTGTATCACCACTATCTCACACTTGCATCTCAAACCTTACTCCTGTTTGGCCATCCTCCCGGTATCCTGGTTTCCCCATCTTTATTTCAGAAGCCAGAAATCCGTTCTTCCGGTTCCTTCCATTTATCAGCAAACTCATCCATCATCCACACCTCCAAAATTATTCTCAGGCCTAGAACCTCCTCTCCAGTGTCCACATTGCCACCTTCATTCTAACTACTCAGAGCATGGCTGCCTTCTAAGGATCTGCCTCTGTGCTTGCCTCCTCCCCCGTTGACTCCCCATGCAGTGGCATGCAAACTCACAGAGCCTCATTTGCTTCCTCCCTTACCCTGTTGTTTCATTCCTCTTGTATAAATGGCAAGGCCAAATTTTAAGGTCTGTGGGGCCCCTCACAGTCCAGTCATACTCCCTGCATTCTCGGGAGCTCTCAGTTTTTGGACTTCACTCTCCCTAGCCTCTCAGGTCCTTCTGACTTCTAGCTAGCATTTGCACCTGCTACCCCCACTGCCTGAACTGCCATTTGCTCAGCTCTGCATTCATGGCTTCTTCCCGGTTTGCCTTGAACCATGTATTACTCTTGAGGCTGGGAAGAGCAATGATAGAATGTGTTGTTTAGCATGTGTGCAAGGCCCTGGGCTCAATCCCCAGCACCAAACAGAAAGGGAGAAATCTCTGCTGTGTCACTTAACTACTGTGTGATCTTAGATAAACTGTTTAGTCTCTGTGCACCTCTAGTATGTAATTAAAATGCAAATGTTCTTAATGGCTCACGTAACTGCTTACCACATAATAGGTATTCAGTGGCTATTAGCTATGCATGTTTAATTTTTCCCTTGTTTATAAGCTGCCTCCTACCGGGATATAAAAACTCCCTGAAGGCAGAGATCCTGTCTGGTTCACCATTACCTCCTATATGGCTCATGCTGAAGCAAGTCCATACCTCTGACCTTACAGCAGAAGAAGATCTTTATGATTCATGGCCGATATCCAGTGATCCGGTGTCTCTTGCGCCAGAGGGGCTGGGTAGAAAAGAAGATGGTCCATCCCCCAGGCACCATCCCACCACCAGCCCAGAAGGACATAGACAGCTCAGTGATGGGTGATAGTGATACCACGGAGGATGGTGAGTAGGTCCCTCCTTGTGCACAAGCTGTCCTTCCTGAGTCCTTTTCCTTTGCTTCCTTGCTGGTCCAGGGTTGAGACCTCAAAGGACTGTGGGACACAGACACAGTCCCACAGCGTCACCCTCCGCATCCACAGAGGAAGAAGATGAGAACGAGTTGTTTCGGGACACACAGCTGTTGGACTTAAATAGTTTTCTGGAATTTGATGACCTAGAAGGGACGCATGCTTTGATGGTGAGGACTCTGGGACCATGCAAGACAGGGCAGGTGGGAGGCTTCTATTCAGAGAACATTTAGTTGGGTGTCCTTCCTTCTCGGAACCCTAGCTTCCAGTCTGGGAAAACGGATTGCTTCTCTAATGATGGGAACAGAGCTCTACACAGAGCGGTAAGGGACTCACGTGGCTCTACTGTCTCTCCCCACCAAGAACAGACTATTTTGCTCATCTCTTCCTCTTGCCTTTGGCAAATGAAGGCTGTAAGAAATGGCTTTAAAAGCCAAGAGACAAGGAAAGATGGTATGTCCTTCAGTAGAGTGAAGACCTGAGTTCAAGCTCCACAGAACACATGTGAAAAGCCAGATGTGGTGGTAAAAAGCACTCTCAGTGCTGGGGAGAAGCTAGAGACTGGTGGACCCCCAGGGCTTGCTGGCCAGTCAGCATAGTGTACTGTGCAAGTGCCAGTCCAGTGAGAGACCCTTTGGCAAAAACAAGATGGGGAACTGGAAGATGGTTCAGGGGTCAACAGTACTGGCTGCTGTTTCAGAGGTTTGATTCTCAGCACCCACATGAGGGCTCGTAACAGTCTGTAAGTCCAGTTCCAAGGGATCTGACACCCTCTGCTGGCCTCCCTGGGTACTGCATGAGTTTGGTACAGAGATATTCTTGGAGGCAAAAAAAAAAAAAATCCATGTGTGTGAAATAAATACATCCTTTAAAACAACAATAACAAAAAGATGGATGGGGGACCCCAGACTGTAGTCTGGCTTTTGTATGCACACACGTGCATGCATGCTCTCACACACATACACACATACAAACGCACATATTCCTATACACAAAAATATGCACACAAAAACTTGAGAGGCTGCTGTGCTGGTGTGGAGGGTGTGAATGGTGAAGAGACAGACGACACTGGAGTTCAGAGTGTGACCCCCCCCCCGACTAAGTAAAGTGTGTGAAGTTGCCATTTCTTTTTCTTCCTTTATTTTATTTTGGTCCCCTCGTTCTCTCTGTCTGTGATATGTGTATAGGTGGGTATGGGTCTGCACCTGCCACATACATATCTGGAGGTCAGAGAACAACTTCCTAAAGTCGATTCTCTCCTTTCATCATGGGTCTGGGTCCCACTTCCACTGGGCACATCACTGATGGTCACAGAGCAAGGCGTGGCATCGTGGTGTGCAGCTTAGCCACTGTCTCGGGAGTGACATGGGGCCAAGTGGAGGCTGGAAACCCGGCCTGCTGGCTGAGCAGCCAGCGTAAGCTTTTTGGAACACATGACTTCTCATGACATATTCAGAGATGGGGAGTCAAGAGGACACCTTGGACAGCTCCTCTCCTTTCTGTACAGCTGGGCAGTGAGAAGCTGTCCCCTGTCCCCCTGTCTCCATCTCCTCTCCTTCTCTCCAGTCCCGCATGGTTCGAAATGAGACCCCCTACCTCATCTGGACTACGAGGCGTGATGTGCTGGATTGTCGCCTCCTTTCCAAGGATCAGATGATAAACCATTATGCCCGAGCAGGCTCCTTCACAACAAAGGTAGGCATCCCAGGGAAGCTAACACCAGCCCTCAGACTGGCAGCCCCACTTCCTGCCAGACTTAGCAGTCAGAGAAGATTCTGCAGGGAACACAAGATATTCTTGGGTTCACACCTCGGTCTGGAACTATATCTCACATGTGTTGACATGATCACTGTGAGCTCAATTCCCATGGAATGTGGAAGCAGAAAAATGCTAAATCAGCCATTGTGAATGAAGGAGCCCTGGCCTCCTGAGAGTTGTACTGACTTTATTGAGTCTTACCTGGTTTCTCAGTGAGTGGCTCCGCCTCTCCAAGCCTCCACTTCCTCATCTTTAGATGGGAATGTCAACACAACCTGTAGTCTAAGGTTGTGCTAAGGATTTACCAGCATCTACTATGTCAGTGGTTCTCAACCTGTGGGTCAAGGCCCCTTTAGGAGGGTTGCATATAAGATATCCTGCATATCATATATGTACATTATAATTCATAACAGTAGCAAAATTATAGTTATGAAGTAGCAATAAAAAGAATTTTATGGTTGGGGGGTCACCATAACGTGAGGAACTAACTATAGTGAAGGGTTGCAGCATTATGAAAGTTGAGAACCGCTGTATTATGTCACCAGTGGTGTGAACTCTAGAGGCCTCCTGGGTAGAGCATGGATGGGAAGGGGCAGGTGGAGGGACATGGGGCCGTTTCAGTTGGGCAAACTTGGAGATGGATAACAAGTGAGACCTAACAAGTGGGTTGGAGGTTCCAGGAAGAGTCTTCCTGAGCGCCTGGACGTACGCTGCAGGTGGGGGAGCCCCTTGACGTGCTCTGGGTCCCCCCCAGCGCTTCAGCAGCTGTCTCCACAGGTGGGCCTTTGTCTCAATCTTCGGAATCTGCCCTGGTTTGATGAGGCTGACGCTGACTCCTTCTTCCCACGATGCTATCGCTTGGGGGCAGAGGATGACAAGAAAGCCTTCATAGGTAAGAGGACTCTAGCCCCATGCCTGTCTTCCTCATGCTGTCTGTCCCACAGTGGAAAACAGCAGCCCTCTCCTCTTGCCCTTACCTACTCAGTAGACTTTCCTCTGTAACCCCGGTCCTTTCCTCCCACTAATGGCTCTTCCATTCGTGAGCCTCCTAGTTTGGCCAAGCCTGGCATCTATAGAAGCCTAGGGAGCCAGGCTTGTACCCTAGAGCAAGTTCTAGAGGTTGGTGGGTTGATTTAGTCTGAAGTCCAGATAAGTTGCAGCATGGACCAGGTTCTACAAAAGGCTCTGGGCCTCTAAGGCAAAGTTGGTTCCAGCTCCAATGTGGGTTCTGAGTTCAGAATCTGGATCCAGATCAGTTGGCAGCTTTTAAATTATGTTCCAAACCTGAGATAGAATTTAGGCCTTGGTCTGATTCTCAGGTTAGAATAAGCATCAGAAATGGAGAAAGAAGGCTATGTGTGGTGGGTCACTCCTGTAATCCCCACTGTGGGGAACCAGAGGCAGGATGGCCACAAATTTGAGATCAGCCCTGTCCTACACAGTGAGTTTTAAGCCAGACAGCTTGAAACTGCAAGACCCTGTCTCAAAATAATAATAATAATAAAGAAAGAAAAGAAAGTAGAAAGGAGTGAAACCAGTCCAGGTCACTTTCTAGAGACAGGCTGCCCACACTGTGGGTCTTATGTTCAGTAGCTGAGGTAGGAGCCAGGTGTGCTAGAGTGAGACATAGAAATAAGGTTCTGGATCCAAAATGGGACAAGCCATGGTGAGGTTCCAGAACCAGGAGAGGCCTGGAGCCTGGGGGCTGAGCAGGGTATCCCCGCCTGGGAGCAGAGGACTTCTGGCTGACAGCTGCCCGCAACGTTCTCAAGCTGGTGGTGAAGCTGGAAGGGAAGTCACAGTCCATCTCCATGCAGGCAAGAGAGGAGGAGGCCTTCGGTGAGTGCTGCGCTTACCTCCGCTCCCTTTGTTATGTGCTCAGCCATCCGCTCGTTCACTTCATCCGAGTGTCTAAGTCATCTGACCAGACTGCAGCCTTTGCCACCAACCTGTCTGTCCATCAGTCCATCATCCCGTCTATGAATTGCATTCAGCCCTATCCGCCCTGCCGTCCACCTGCATAGCCAGCTACCCCTACCCGTCTGTTCATTCTCTCAACCATCTCCCACCTGGCCGCCTCCTGCCTATCACTTCAGTCACCTGCCATGCTGTCCGTCCTCTCCACATTATCTCCATCTCTCCGCTCCCACTTTCCTTCCTGCCCTTGCACAGGCCTAGCTTCCCGTCTTCCCTTCTGCTTGTCCATCCTCAGTTCACCACCTATCATCCTGAGATTTATCCTTGTGCCTACCCCAACACCTGTCTACCTGTTCATTTGTTAATTGTTGAGCCCTTTAATGGGCCTGACTGGCCACTTTAGAGAGGCAGGCTGAGATCTTGTGGCCCCACCCCATCCCTGCCTGTGAGGACCGCTTCAAGTCCTCTGGAGAGAATGCAGAGGAACACAGAAACATGCAAATGTCCCCAAGAAACCCTGTGCCTGCACATAGGAAACATCTGGGAGAGGGGAGGAGATATAGGAATTTCTGCGTGCTGGTCCATCCTGTTGTTCCCCTACCCCTCTGCTGAAATACTGGGGGCTGTACTCTGGGAAGGAATGGGCAGTTTTACTGGAAGGAGAAAAGTCCCTGGATCTTCCAGAGGAACCCCCACATGCACTTTTGACCTAGGTGGATCAGTACCCAAAAGGCAGTTATGTATCAGGATCTGGCCCCACAGGGCACCCTCCCTGGCCAGAGACCCTGCACTTGAATGTGTGCTGAGGTCAAGTAGAGGTCAGGCTGCAGGTGGGCTGTTGAGGACTTGTTTGCATGTCAGAGTTTTTAAATGGGCAAAGGGTCAAGCCAAGGTCATGAGCGGGCATCGGTTCCTCCAGGGTAGGGGCTGGTGGATCACTCCCAGCTGAGTGCTTCCGTTTGCCCATGTACGTTAGCATTTTATGGCTTATGGGCTGTAGATGTCTGTGAGGATTCTGAGAGAGGGGATAGATTTCAGGTATCCAGAGGGGATGTAGGAAGCTATGTGTATCTAGATTCACCTAGGCCAAGGCTTTAAGGTACATTGTAGGGCCAAAGATGTGTCAGAGGGCCCCCAGGGATAGAGCTGCAGGTAGGTGCTGGGACAGGATGTTCTAGAAAGCTTGGCATGTACACTAGAGCCTTAGTTAAGTGAGAGGG